TATTATTATTATTATTATTATTATTATTATTTATTATTATTAATATTATCATCATCATCATCATTATCGTTATTATTGAAAATATCGTGCGCTGGCATTGAAATTATTCGACATTAATAATTGAAACGCGAGCGAGGGACTTACTTTCGTTCTACGTACAGAGAATTGAATAATTTAAAATTTTAAATAAAATATTTCCACGAGAATAATGATTTTTCATGCAGACGAATTAAACGATGGAATGCCTTTAATTGGTTATGACTAATACGTTGAATAAGCAAAGAAGATGAAGAAGAAAAATAAAATATTTCGTGGCAAATTTACGATGAACAAACGAGGTAAATATACGTATTTGCCCTAGTAAACTAAATTATATGTAATTAAATTCTTAATACAATGGCTCGTATATTTAATTAAATAGAATTATAATGCTGTCCCTTGGATTCAAAAGGACACAACATGCATTCGGAATAATATTATATTTTTGATTAGCTACATAGGATTATTCGCATAATAGTTGTAGACGTATAGAGCGTAACATGCAATTTTTTAATCAATTTAGCGTTAATAATTGCACATTGCGGGACCGTTGATAAATATAATTTCACATTAATTGCTTTAAAAATTCAATAATATTCCGGGCAAATACTATCGTGCCTTATCTCACCGTCAATTAAATTCCTCGTAATTATTTTGCGCTTACTGAATACAGATGTATGTGCTTGAGCATTGAAATTTATATCAAAAGAATATTATGTGCCGGACGAAAGGGGAGGCTGAAGGGAAAAAAACAAGACAAGTCGAAGAACGCCGTTGCGCAAGATTTCTTTAACGTCGCTTTCTTTCGCCTCGTTTGAACTTTGACTTGGGTTTATGAATAAATAATCTAGGTAATGCATGAAAATAGCGCGCAATTACCTCGCTCGTCGACTCGCTCCGTTGGCGTGTGGAAAAATCTAGGCGCCCGGCCGCCGTGAGCGGCTACCGGATGCTTTTGGGCCCGCAAGCGGCGCATTTAATAATTGTGGAAATCGTTCTCGTTTTGCAGATCGTCGAGCCCCTTTAAACTTGACTCCAGCACGGGTCAGTTGAGGCTCGCCGAGGCCCTCGACCGCGAGACCAAGGAGAGCTACGTGATCAGGGTGAGGGCCGACGACGGTATACAGCATACGGACGTCACCCTCGACATCGTGGTAAGCAGCCATTAACTTTTTATTAACGTTGTTCATGATCCACCCACTCGTACTCTCGGGAACAAAGTGTCGATATACACGACAATGATATTACGATACGAAACTAGATTTTACAGCCGGTTTTTTCTGCGTTTTGTTGTTTTAGACGAGAGTTCTCAGGCCTATCAAGCTCTGCTATTTCGCGTAAATCGTTTACACCGCTTTGTACAGAGTGATTATATGTGTGGGCGACTCGTTGCGTAAATAAAACGGGATAAAAGAAGAGGAAAATCGTAATTTGCGATTATGCCGTATTTCTCTCAGGAAATTTGTAAAAATTTACCTGTTTCGTAATTTCATTGCTGCAATGTACGATAAGTTGGTGGATGGCGTCGTAATCAATAATATATAATCGATGAATGTTGCGTCGAAAATTATTGAAATATATGTCTTATACAGGAGAGTACAATTTTCAATGAAATACATAATTTCATTCGACATTATAAGACTTTTGCCGAATGATAATTCTCTTTTAAGACGGAATTTCTGCAGATACTACTTTTCCCCATTATTTGTCAATTCGTTGAATAAGCATTGAGACACAATTAGACAATACGTTTTTATCGCAAACGTTTTCAAAATAGACGAACGACCGCGCGCGCGCGCGCGCGCGCACACACACACACACACACACAATCAGAAATTTTAATTATGTAAAGCATATAATGTTATATGCAAATAAATTGGCTGAGAGCAAGCTTTACATTAAAAATTCTTTTCTAATTGTAGTTTTATAATAAAAATTACCTACTAATAAATTTCGTTTAAATTATGAATAATAATGCACGAAATGGCTTTATCGCCTGATATGTACTCAATAATAAGTATAAATTTATCGTCCTTCGCCAACTAATACTATAGCATTAACATCTTAAAATCCATTGCAATCATTCTTACGGCCTCAAGGATGAAATGTTTATTTTTCATTTTTTCTTTTTTTTTCGATTCTCACTAAAAATACAATTTGTGAGTGCTTTTCGATAGTAAGTTAAAGAATTTAAATGACAAACGTTTTAAAAGAGTCGCGAGTATATGACTGTAATACTTAAGTTCATAAAACTATAAGAGAGTATGAAAAGTTTTTCGAAAGCGCGGAGGTCAATAAATTAAATGTTATTATTATTATAAAAATGAGGTAATATAATCTGAAGCGGCATGAATGCATATTCGCCAATATGGGCATCTAAAAGAAAATATTTCTTATTCTTGTGAATATTCATTAACTGTTAACAAATGTGATTTTGGATACAGAGAAGCGAATTTTTAAAGAATGAAACTAAATTTCTCATGTAAGAGGCAAAAAAAATAAGCATTACATAAGCTCGTTAAATGGGAGAAACCACAATTTCAATGGTTTATTTTCATATATGGAAAATACATTCGAATAAATTTCGAAAATCTTTTAAGAGAAAATATCACAAAATGATAATGAGGCTATATTTCAACAAAAATGAAAAAAAAAAAAAAAAAAAAAAAAAAAAAAAAAAAAAAAAAACAGGAAGAAGAAGAAGAGGAAGAAATAAAGAAAAAAAAACAAAGTTTCAACCGCGCATAAACACTAATGGAGCGACTAGTCGGAGATCTATTTGAGTACGAAAAATAAAAACGAATGCTTAAAGGGATAGACGATGTAGAAGTGTAATCGCTCTTGCTTACTCTCTCTCTCTCTCTCTCTCTCTCTCTCTCTCTCTCTCTCTCTGTCTCATAAATTTGAAGCAATTTGGAATGGCAAGGAGCAAAATGAAATATCTGAAACGTTCGGGAATCTATTGCGAGAGTATTCGTCTCTTTAAGCCAATTTATTATTTTGAACCATTAAAACTGAAATGTCGGTATCAATTGCTTGCCCGAGTGCCCGTTCGCACACTCAATATCACGACAAATTGATGGGAAATATTTTGAGAAGTTACGGAACGCGCTAAGCACTAGCCTATCCAAACAGTTCGTATATTTAATGCAAAAAGCAAAAAAGAAAGCGATATTGAAAAGAAAGGAAACGGCATCGGATTGAAATCCTCACCTATTCCGAATTCGTTCGAGTTGTATGAACGTCGAGTGGCTGCGCGGTGGCGGCAGCTGCAACGGCGAATAATCGTACGGAGCGAAAGCGCCCGACTTGACGTTTCAAAGAATTATGATCGAAGGCGAACGGATAAATTGGCCTGGCTTACAAGCGCGCGGCCACTATTTTCATTGGAAAAGCAAACAAGCCGACTGAAAAACACTTGGCATCGAGCATTGCACGCCAACGCGCATTTTCCGCGGTCTCAGGCTCCCTTCTCCCTCACCGCCCCCAGGGCAAACGAGTTATCAGTCACTAAGGAGCGCGGCGTTCGCCGGGTATATCGATTCATTAGTCATAAGCCGTCCTTGTTCTCATCGCACGAATACAGAGCGCGTCATTGTTAATTCAGTAGTACCAGACGCGTCCGCGCTGGCAATAAAAGAGGCCGCGATACGCCATCAGGGCCCCCATTAAAATCTCTTTCTCCTCCCCCCCCCCACCCCCGAGAAAAATGAGGATGCGAGTCGTGCCGCCACTGGTATAGAGACGTTATCGCTTGTGCGATCGGCGCGAAAATTCGTCAAAAGGGGCGGTGCGACGCGGCTCGGTAAGAAAAGTCACGGCGGTTCCCAAGCGCGCGCGCGCACGACACAACGACCGCGACGAATTGCTTCGCCTCTCCTCACTCCATACCTCCCCCCCCCTCCCCCCGTCGACTTTCCGCGCCCTTCCACCAGCCGACCTCAGCGTCCGTCACGCGAAAAACGAGCGGGGTAGACCCGAAGAACCCGTCGTTCCAAGTGATAAGGAAAAAAGGGGAGCCGGCCGTAGAGGAATATCGTACATCAAAAAGCGCTGTCTCACCGCGCAGCATGAGAATCGCATTAAACAATCGTTTGGGGGCCGCGGATGAGGGGGAGGGCCGACGAGTACCGACCACGGAGGAAGCGTCGGGCGGCGGTGGTTTGGATGAAGAGGAGGAGAGAAGGAGTAAGACCCGTGGTGGACGCGGGCGAATCGAGCGCTCCTATCATCTTCTCGGCTCTCGACCCGCGTGACCCCGTGCTAGACCTCGGCCGGGCAGGCCCGCGCGCTCGTTTCGCCGATCCTTCCACATCGTCAACGTGGAGCAAGCTCGTGTACTCGAGCTATGATTCCCGGCATCTGGCAGTGCGGCTTTCGGCGGCGCGGGACGAGGTCGAGGGAGGGCAGCGCATCGAGGTGGGGCTGAGGAAGAGCGACGCGACCGAATTCGTTAAACTCACCGCTGCCGGTTATTATCGGGTGCGGCGCGGTGTCACCGCATTTACCTCCGCGATTGTAAAACGTTATGCGCCTTTTGCGGGCTGAAGCAATATAATGATTATTAGCCGAGGCGATGCGCAATTTTCGTCGTATAGAGTGGACGCGACTCCGACGCAGGTCCTCGAAATTAAAAAGCGGCTGTCGAGACAGCGGCGACAGGGGGCGGGGGCGGGGGGAGAGGGAGAGGGAGAGACACGAAGAGAGAGAGAGCAGAGAGAGATAGAGAGAGATAGAGAGAGAGATAGCAGAGAGAGAGATAGAGAGAGAGAGAGAGAGAGAAAGCAGAGAGAGAGAGAGAGAGAGAGCAGAGGCACAGGAGTGGAAGCCGATAAATTTGCCATACTTTATGAAATTTTGCGCCCACCAAGCGGCCACGGCCCGATGTGTCACTCTCCGCGCACTTTAGCAAACATTGTACAATGGCCGCGCCGAGGAGTTAAGTTTATTGAAGCCAATTATTCATTATTCGCTCGATAAAAACAGCCGGACGGGCAAAGCCAGACCTCGCGCACGGCTCCTTATATACGTATCCGGTTTCACGCGTTGCCCAAAGAATGCCGGCTTTTCGTTTTTTTTGTCGTCTTTTTCTTCTCGAGACGAAAAAAAGAAAGTAAATAAATAAAAGAAAAGAGCGAGCAAGGAAAATTAAAGCGGTGGAAGAGTTGGGGGGATGGAGGGGGGGGGGGGGGTTGAAATAAAGCATAGAATGAAAATTGGTAATAGGCGTGTAAATAAAAGAAAGAGAGGGGAATAAGTTAGGGTCGAGCATTTACGTTGTAGGCTGTGTGGCGTAGAGGTTCGTCGCGACATGCGATAATGAGTGAAAAGTTTATGTTACACGGGCGCGATTGTATTTCTTTTTTCGTTACCGATGTTTGCGGGTACAACGGCCGCGACAGACGGTAAAATTCGAAAGCCCAATGGCGATGCGGTGGAAAACGTTGCAAAATTATAAGACTTGGCGCGACACCGACATTTCCTCCCGGCAATTTTGTCTTCGGAAATATCAACTCGGCTTTAAGCATCGCGCTTAAACGCTCGCTTTACTCCGACAAAGCCCTCGTGCTAAGGGTCGCCGTTTTATAGCAATTATCCTGCGTGACGTAACGAGGCACGTAAGCCGCCGCAAGAAAACGAGACAAAAGAGAGAGAGAGAGAGAGAGAGAGCGAGGGGGGGGGGGGGGGGGGGGGGGGGGGGGGGCGGAGCGGAGCGGAGCGCGGGAGTGGAGGCAGGAGAGAAAACAACTATCTCCCGTATCGTAAAAAACGCATTGGATGGAATTTATCGAAAATTCCAAAAGCAGCCGGTAACTCGGCAGAAAAAAATAAAACAAAACAAAAACTAAAACAAAGAAAAAAGAAAAAAGAAAAGAAGAAAAAAAATAAACAAAAAATAAAGAAAGGAAGAAAAACGCCTCGTAGGCTCTTGGCAGTGCCTCGGCGAGGATTCGTGCGGCGACGCCCACGAGTGCGAGCCAGCACCGGTGATAGCGTCGATATCTCTTATCGGGACATCGTCCGGAAGGGACGCGGTGCTCGCCTCGACGATCGGCGGGCCGGGGCAGGAGGGGGACAGGAGCGACCGCTGCACTTCCGCCAGTGAAAATCGGCCAATGAGGCTCGGGCTCAGGGCGCGCAGCTCCGTCTCGTA